CCCTCCTAGCTCTAGAATTCTGTGCCTGTCAGAGGAGCTGAAAGGTCTAGCCCGCTCCTCTGCAGCTTAGAGTCACGCGCCCTAAAGTAAGGCAGAGGCTGATCCTTAACTAAAAGTGCAGAAATCAGTCTGGACTTCTGTTTTCTGCAGTTTCCTAGATGGTTTAAAACCGTTTTCATGCTTATTATTTCACATTCGCAGACAAGTTTTGTGGAATACTATTGTAACTACAGACTCACCACTGTTCTTTGAACTACTGTTTATTCATTCAGTGAGTATCTTCCAGGTACATACTCTGGAGAAAATACTGTGTTCAGTAAATCAAATGCGAATCTCACCTTACAGGCTAGAATCGGGTGACAAAATCATTTGCAATTTCCAGAACTGCGGAGAGTCTGGCCTGCCTTATGTGGGCGTATCTGGTGGGTGGCCAGGGGTCAGACAAGCCCCTGAGTGCCAGTGTCTTATCGCCCCAAGAATCCCCCCATAATCAGGGTCTTCTGGGGGACTTCATGGAAACAGCACTCTAGTGAAGGGTGTCTGGAGCACTAGCGACCTGTGAGAGAGCTCGGCCCAGAGATCTTAGGTGTGATGATCAGAAAGCGATTCACGGGACGAGGAAGCTAACGTTCACCGAGTGTCTGCGCTGTGTAGGGGCCATGCTCATGGCTGGCACACGTGTTCTCTCACTTAATTCCTACCGTGGGGAGCGTGGCAGTTATCTCAGCTTTAACGGAGGCTCTCGAGGCGGAAGTACTCGTCTGAATGTTGCACACCAGGAACTGGCAAAGCCAGAATCTGAGCTAAAGTCCCATCTCAAAGCCCAGACTCTTGCTCCTACAGCCGGCTACATTCTGAAGGGCCAACACAGAGCCAAAAACAAGCTGACCATGGCTAAGGGTCCCCTCTGAGTCTCAGAGGACTGCTGGAAGAAATAACTAAGCTGATGCAGGCAGTGAACGGAGCCGTGGCTGGCGTGTGCAGGCACGGTCTAAATGCCGTCAATTATTACCACTACTGCTCACGCCCGGTGCGGGCCTTTTAATGTCCCTAAGAATCACAACAGAGAAATACTTACATTTACTCACTGAGGGACTGCAAACTTTATGCTCTTGTGAGGAAACTATTTCTTTTGTTTGTTTTTACACCATGGAGTTTCGTTTATTATAGGATATAAATTTTTTTCTTCCTAAACACAATTTTAGGCAAAACCCAGCAACGGGGAAATAAATACAATTAAGTAAAGGAGCCTCCGAAGTTACAATGAACTTAATTCCTGATCCTGACAGTTAATTTGGTTTTAGTCTTTGAGGGAGGTCCCAGCTGCCCCCCAGAGGAGGTCACTACTGAGAGAACGTAAGCGGTCACTCGAGGTGCCTGGCCTGGCAGAGCCACTTGACTGGCAGAAATCTGCCTCGCCCGTTCCCCGAGAGCAAGGCACGGCCTCCCCGCAACCCCATAGTCCCCTCTCTTTCAGGTGGAACCTTCTTTCTGATTCATTTCTTGTTAATGTTAAGGAACATCACGTGGTTCTCACTCTGACTGCGCCCTTTCTCATCTGGAATTCTGAAACACACTACTATACTTAGACCATTTCCATCCTAGTTACGACATTTCTACAAATCTTGTCATTCTTCCTTACTTTGTAACGGGCCTACAGATAAATGCCTTTGAAATGAATTTTCTAGAGAGGCTTATGAATATTGTTTAAGAGAATAAAATACTAATCTGATAGGAAAACTGGCTACCATATCACTGCTACACTGAAAAAAGTTCTCAGATTCCATGAGTTTAAAAAGTACAGTTAGGCCGGGCGCGGTGGCTCACGCCTGTAATCCTAGCACTCTGGGAGGCCGAGGCGGGCGGATTGTTTGAGCTCAGGAGTTCGAAACCAGCCTGAGCAAGAGCGAGACCCTGTCTCTACTAAAAAGAGAAAGAAATTAGCTGGACAACTAAAAATATATAGAAAAAATTAGCCGGGCATGGTGGCGCATGCCTGTAGTCCCAGCTACTTGGGAGGCTGAGGCAGAAGGATCGCTTGAGCCCAGGAGTCTGAGGTTGCTGTGAGCTAGGCTGATGCCACGGCACTCACTCTAGCCCGGGTAAAAAGAGTGAGACTCTGTCTCAAAAAAAAAAAAAAAAAAAAAATAGTACAGTTAACCTGTAGTTACTAGAATTTTGTATCATTAAAAGGCCCAAAGCAATAGGGTCTCTCTTGGTCCAGACACCACCACCACGTGCGTTACAACAGTGAGCACTAGGTGGCGCTACATCCCAAAGCAGACAGAGACATGACATTTTATTCCAAAACATTTGGGATAAAAAAACATTTATCCTGAAACACACAGAAAGACATTTTTCTTCCTCAAACCAGGGCAGTGGTGCTGAGACCTTGCATCACTTAGCACTGAGCCTCTGAAGTATATATTTAAACCATAATGAAGTCTTGTTATGAAAGGCTCTTTAATATTTATACTCATCAGTATTGTTTCTTCAGCTATCCAATGCTGGCGCAAGCTTGTTCTATCAGTTTTTGGTTTTGTTGTAATTAAGAAAGCTAGCACTTGTGAATGCAGCGTTCAAAAATCTCTGAATGTCCACTCAAACCTTCCCACTGGCCTGAGGCTGGCCAGAAAGGACAGGGCTCTGATTCGTCCAGGGGTGGGAGGCCTGCCAGGGGCACGGCTGTCCCCCTCAGGGACCTGCAGGGCAGCTTACCAGACCTGTCTTTGACAGCACTGTACACTGTACATAACTGAGAAAACTTTGCTCTCCTTTATGTAGCTTTCTAATTAAAACAAGCCATCAATCAGTTCCAACACTGTTTCTGCTGGGATTTTAAATGGCCCCAATCAAACTTTACTTACAACACATTGATTTCTAATTCTTTTCAAACAGAAAAAAGCAGCAAATGGAAGAAAAAAGGCCATTATTTTCAGATCTACAATCCCACAGCACAAAATCCAAAATTCAATTTCTAGGACAGATGAGACAGAGGCTAGGGGTGTCGTGATGGCTCCCAGCTCATTCTCACAATGGAGCCACGGAGGCGCACTCAGTGCCGATCCACGCAGACAGTACCTGCTGTTCAGACGTGGATCATGATAACTGTAACACACTTCAGAATATTCAAGAAAGTGACCAAGATTACATATGATGAAGCAAGCCCGTCAAATCAGCAGGTCACACAGCGAAATGACAATGCTATCACCTCCACCCAGGGGGAAGTGCAGAGTGGCTGGCAGACAAGAGGACCACAAGGAAGCTGCATTAAAATGTGAGCCCCCTGCCAAGTACGTTGCTCTGTGGTCCAGACATAATTAGACTAGGCTCTGATTCTTAAAAATTTGGACTCATTGCTAAACTGCTATTTGACCCAGAATTTTCAATCACCATTTGTTTTGAGTTTCAGATGTTTACATGCATTAAAACCACATTCTAATACATGTAAAATTCTCTAGTTCAATTCTGTTCCTGCAAATTAATCCACATTTATGATCAACCATTTAGAAATAACCTACCCTTGAACATAAGCCTTATGTCATGCCTCTGATAACTGAGAATGTATTCCTAACTGCATCACTGGGAAGCCAACTCTATTAAAAATAGAAGCCAGCTGGGCACGGGGGCTCACACCTATAATCCTAGAACTTTGGGAGGCCAAGAAGGGAGGATCGATTGAGGCCAGGAGTTGGAGAACAGCCTGGGCAACATAGCAAGACCCCATCCCTACAAAAAATGCAAAAATTAGCTGGGTGAGGTAGCATGCGCCTGTAGTCCCAGCTACTCAGGAGGCTGAGGCAGGAGGATCGCTTGAGCCCAGGGGTTTGAGGTTACAGTGAGTTATGATCACACCACTGCACTCCAGCCCTGGCAACAGAGCAAGACCCTGTCTCCAAAAAAAGAAAGAACCTAAGGTTTGGGGTTAACTTTTCATTACTACGCACAAAAACTATAAAAATTAAACCTAACTATCTCCCTAGGAATCCAATAAAGGTGGCATTAATTAAACCAAAGTAACAGGCACTTTGGGAAGGGCTTTCACTTTTTAGGAACTACTCATTTCTTAGGACCTCTCAATAGTGGATGGAGATCTCAAACATATTATAAATTAATTTCTTGTACCTACCTAGTCTGACAATGTTTCCAAATTTTTACCCACAAAGCAAAAGGCTGTTAAGATATTCTTAAAAGAAAGTAGTCTGTGCTACTCAGAAAACTAACATTTCCTCTGGGTGTCCTAAAACTGCCGTCAGTCGGGTTTCCCAAGTGCTCTGCCCTCAGACCCGGATCCCGCCGTGAGAAGCAGGATGCGTGAGGACGGCAGCGACTGGCGCTGCGCGCGAGGCCGGTGGGAAAGGCCAGAGATGGGACTGGAGACCAGGCCAGCTCCACTGCCGGGCCCCCTGCAGGCGCAGGGCCTGCGGAGACCAGGGTTTCCAGCAGACTGGGGCTGTGCTCAGGTCATGTTCACGCATTTCGTCTGCAGCCGGCTCTGCGGGGGCTTTCTAAGCATTAGAATCAGCCAGTTTTAAAATTAAGAGACAAACATACAGCCCAAGCTACTGTCATATTTGTAGAAATCTAAACCAAGTTCCAGAGCTGTTAACAAGTGAGGCTGTTTCTGAAAATTAAAGACAAGAAGGCTAAATACTTTAAAACTTAAATAATTATTACAAATAAAACGAATGATTTAATGGAACAAAAAATTTACTTGTATGTGTGCATGTGTGAACTTTATGATCATTTGAAGACCTCAAAGGATACTTTGTTCAGTTGGAATATTTCTTATAACTAAGAATCTGAAAATTTCAAAATAACCAAACTTTGAGAAAAAAGTTCCGATGTCAAGTACGCACAACAGACGTTTATCTTTCTTCCCAAGTAGTAGTTTAATATAAAGTAACCAACACAATGGACGCTGCATTTTATATCAAGAAATGATTTTGTCTCAGCTATGACAAACTTTGGCACAGATGTCACACTCCCAGGTGACCGACCTGAATGGGTCCCACGGACATCAGCAGGCTCTTCAGCTGGGTGTCGGTGGTTGACGAGGACAGCCCCTCCACGGACACCACGCAGGGCTGCGGCTTGCACTCCACGACCCGCAAGTTCTGCTTGTTGGGCACCAGGCGTCCCCGGCCCATGGGACCGGCCACCCCTCTGCCCCGCCCGTGCATGATGGCCTGCCAACGACAAATGAAAGGCATCTATGCTGAACCTGGGTTTCTTTCGCAGCTACTAAGATATAAAAGCTAGCAAATAACTCAGAATTCATGAAAACATACCGTGAGCTACAGAATTTTCTGTAGTTTCTATCCACTATCAGAGAATGGTTTAATATTTAAATGAGACAAAAATATCCAGCCAGTCTAGGTGGAGGAACAGGGGGAACTGACAGCCCGAATCGCCCCGGGAGCCTGCCACGCAGCCGTGCTCGGCGGGCACTCCGGCAGACAGCGTCCCTGCGCAGATGAAGCCCGTGGGGACTCAGAAACCTTCTGTGAGTAACGCAGTGAAGGATTCAAGTCCAGAGCCCACATTTCTCCCGTCGCCTTACAGGCTGGGCTCAGTGGGGCCTGCTGTGTGCTACAGCTGCCCTGTGGCCCCAACTCATCCTGGCAACAGTCACAGTTGCTATCCCCAAACCCTCGAAGGCACGTTCTGCAACAAGGCTTTCACCCCAGCTGCACGCTGTCATCATCTGTAGAGCCTTTAAAACCAAACGAAAAAACACAGCAATGACTGAGTGTGCCCCCACCCCCAATTACAATTTTGCTGGTCTAAGGTGGGGTCCCGACATCATCAGGGTTCAAAATCCCTGCTCTTTAAAGAGGCTTTAAAGAGGAGACAGCTGAAATTTCTAGCATTTTCTCCTAATTAGGAAGAGAGAAGAACACTTCTGCCCAACTTCTCCAGCTGAGAGTGACAGCAAAATATAGAAGGCCAAATGGCAGCGAACAGCTCTAGGTTTTCCAGATGGCCTACCCTCATTCCGTTCCAGAGTTGGGTAGAAGGAGACAAAAACGGCCTCCCAGTTCCTCACAGAAAAGGGCAGAGAGAAAGAGAGGTGGAAGCCAGAACTGCCGCTTAGGACGTGAATGGGCACCAACGCAGAGGGAGACTAAGAAACACCTCAATGTCTCTTATGCTCTGCAGAAGGTAACAAAACCACTCCTACCAAGTGAGTTTTTAAACAGTGCAAAGAGAGATTTCAAGAGAAACACACGTCAAAAGTTGCAAGTTACACTGGCAGGCAACCAACAGTAAATAACTATTCTTCTGTGCTAGCTGTAATAAGTTATGTTGTTAACAATAATATCCTTTACCAAACCTTACTTACATGCCAGGCACCAGGTTTTTTTTTATATGCTTCTTCTCGTAAAATCCTCACAATCACTCCAATAAGATAGGAAATATCAATATCCTCATTTATAGGAGAGTAAAAGAGGTTTAAAAGTAAGAAACTCAAGTACTGTATATATGCACCTGCATGGGGTGTGTGTTTTCTAAGGTCTTTCTCATCATATATTCAGGGCTAACACCTCAATAAAGAAAATTCATTCTGGAACAATCTGTAAAGACTGTGTCACTTATCACTGAGATATCACTTCACGATCACATTAAGTGTCTATACATTTGTCTCCTGGTACAAAATGGAATAATTATGTCTGTGCCCCTATCATAAGGTGTTAGTTAATGAGACAATATATACAAAGAAATTTAAATACTTCAGAGAGACTCCGAATAGTCTTTTTTTAAATTCAGAGATGGGGTCTGACTCTGGTCACCTGAGCTACAGTGCCATGGTGTCATCATAGCTCACAGCAACCTCAAACTCCTGGGCTCAGGCAGTCCTCCTGCCTCGGCCTCTGGAGTAGCTGGGACTGCAGGTGTGTACCACCACACCTGGCTAATTTTTCTATTTTTGGTAAAGACAGGGTCTCGCTCTTGCTCAGGCTAGTCTTGAACTCCTGACCTCAAGTGATCCTCCCACCTCGTCCTCCCAGAGTGCTAGGATTACAGACGAGAGCCACCACGTCCAGCAGAATGGTCTTAATGTTAACAGGACCACTTAGTGGCAAGATGAGCAGGGGGATGAACTAGTGGGCTTCGGGTCTCCTGGAAGAAGCACAAAGCAGGGGTGCTGCCTCCCTCTCTCCCGCACTGTGGTTCTATCACACGAGCAGTGCTGGCTTCTCCATCAAGAGACTTCACTGCCTGGCCATTCTTATCCCTCCGGCAGAGACGTAACAACTTTGGGAGCCTCAGAAGATGCTTCCTGCTGGAAGCTGAGGGAAGGAGCACTAGAGCTAAACACGTGACAAGGTGGTGCTCCCGGAGCACGACCGGAGGGCACTCACTCCCAGCGAAGGGGGTGGTGCTGCCTTTCTGACAGACTAAGCTCAGAGAAACACCCTTTAATCCACGGGTCAAGGAAAGGATTAAAGGAACTGCGGGCCTGCCACTTTCTCGGGCTGGTTACCTCACCTCCAACGGCCTTGGTTTCCTCTCTCTGAAGTGGGGTCGTGACTATGAAATCGATGAGCACACACCTGACTCTACAGTTAAGTCTCCAGTGACCCAGCACGTAGAGAGAGGAGCGCGTGCCGGTGCTGGGGTTACACGCGTGCACATGCGCCCGCGTGGCTGTCTCCAGCGCACGGATGCTGCTGAGTGACAGTTCGGAGTTGCGGGGAACCAGCCCACTCTCCGTGGGTGATTTACTACTGGAGCTGTGCTGTTAAGTCAGTCAGTAGGGGGACAGGGTTCGGTGAAAACGCTACTGTTTTCAAGGCCAGAACAAGGGAATGACGGCTCACCCACCAATCTGAGTACTACCACGAGCCGGGCACCACCCGTCAGACAAACTGCCTTCAGTCATGGACTCTTCCTGACTACCAGGCCCCCCTGCACCGGAACCACGGCCTCACAGCCCTGTGCCGTGGGCCGGGTCGCGAGCAGTACCTTCTTCGCCGGATGGATTCCTTGGATGCTTTTGATCCCTGGAGGGACAGCCGAGTGTGCATGGGGTCCCGGAGGTAGGTGTGGGGGCTGCTGGAGGCCCCCCCGGGTCAGCGTCACCTTGCGGGCAGGCTGTGGTCCCACTTCCGGAGGCTGAGGAAGCCGCTGGGGCTGGCCTTCAAGGTGAAAAAAGCCATCGCTCTCTCCTCCCTGCTGAAACCAAGAAGGCAGCGTGGGGTTCAGGGTCTGCTCCGCCAAATACTCCTCCCGGCGGCAGGGAGCCCCTCAGTCAGCATTCACCAGAGAAGCAGAGCCATTTCAAGCAGTGTAGACACAAACCTGTCATCTTCCTAGAGCCAGGAAGGACATTTCTCACTGGACAGTGGTTAAGTTTTAACAATATTTTTGAAATTTAAAACAGTAAGATCTCTTTTAATTACTATATTAAGAGGTCTGCGATTAAAATAACTGCTATTTAATTCAGTGAAATACTGTTTAACTTTAAAAATACTTCATATTCAACATGCATTTTTCATTTATAACATACATTATTCATTTTCAAGAGTCTTATTAAAAGCTGACAGTCTGCGTAAGTAGTAGTTTTAAACTTAACTCCTATTCAGACCGAACCTACGTGGCAATCAGCCCGACTCCTGCCGGTCACGGCTGCAGGTCGTGGGGTATGTTGCGGTGCCTTCCCCGCCCTACCCGCCCCCGTGGGTGCCACAACTTCAAATATTCTGTACTTTTCAATACCGTGTTTGTAAAGTCTGCAAGAGGAGCATCCCAAAACCACTGGCTAGAAACTCCTCTCCCTCTGCTGACAGCTACACGTGCCATTAGCAATTGCAGAGCAAGTGCGTTTCAGGAGTGCATTTACTCTGCTAAGAACTTTAGACGTATCAGGAATCCCACCTTTTGTGTTTTACTGAAGTTCCCTCATTTCTTAGTCTTAAAACTTGTTAGGAAGCAGGTACACATTCAAGCTGTGCTACTGATGTTGCTCCTAACACTGGGCAGCAAGAAAAGATACCTCTGGACAGTGCCTAGCTACTTTTGGTATTAAAAGTAGTGCCTTCCCAAAAAGAGTAGCAGGAGGTCAGGAGAGGAAGGGTGGATGGCTAGGACATCAGATCTTGTCCTGCTGAATTATGTAATCCTAATAGAAATGGATGCTTGGATTGAAAAGGAAGACCGAGGCTTTCATTGGCACGATGCCTTCTCTTACCATCAGCAGGGATACGCAGTGTCAGCCACTGCTCCGTAAACCACCCTCCCCCAGGAGGCTCCGCCACGCCAGCCATCTGCAGTGGCAAGGTGGCAGAGTAGCTCAGAGGAAGCCCACACAGCCATGTCCTGCTCTCCCCCTCAAATATATCTTTCAGGCACCACTTAATGGAACAAAGGGCTCCACGAAGAGAAGGAACAGGGACTGGAGGAAGATGGTGTAACACGACTTTCGCTGAGACTGCTGAAAGTAACAGGGACCCAGGGAAAGATGAGATGAAATGTCACACGCAGTCAGGACTTCTGGCTGTGGCAGCATGAAAAGGTCTGCAAATCTTCTCTCCCCAAACAAGTACAACTGCCCCAAACGACCACTTCAGGACCCTAGAAATCGACAAATGTACAACAGCAAACGGAGAAGCACTTATTCCCGAGATGTGAGAACGGTGCAGTCCGTGGCCTTCTTGATGGAGGCCCTCCCCACAGACACAGCCGTGCAGCCGCACAGGGCTGGCTGGGAAGCCCCACAGCAGCGCAGCACGGCACGAGAGCAGCAGGCTCGGAGGGAAGGCTCGGGAAGCTCACCGATCTGTGAGCCTCCGGCGTGGTCCTGTTGGAACAAGCAGCAGACCAGCCAGAAATGTGAGAAAATACTGAGGAGACTCTGGAACGGAAAGAGCCACAGAAGGCCTGGAGGAGCTGTGCCCACACGGCTGCCTGAAAAGCTGGCAGGAAGCTCCAATCCACTGGCCACGGGTGGCCAGGCAGGGCCCGGGGGCCTAAGCACAATCTCTTCCCAATCACTGCTGGCCACGAAACTATGCAGCAGCAACAGGGCTAAGGAAGCCAGGCTAAGAAATAAAACTACTGAAAAAAACCAAACTGAATGAAAACAAAAATATAACACACCAAAATTTAGGGGATGCAACTAAAGCAGCTGCATCAAAAAGGAAAAAGACCTAAAAATCAATCATTTGATGAGCCACTACCGTCTTTACCTCAAGCTAGTCCCCCTCCCTCAAAAAAAGGAAATTGAACCCAAAGTGTAAGAAAAGGGTAAAGATCACAGCAAAAGGCAATGACACAGTAAACAAAAAATAGAGAAAATTAGTGCAACCAAAGTTGGATTTTTTGAGATCAACAAAATTGATACTCCATTAAGTACAAGGACCAAGAAAAAAGGAGCAAAGACAAATTACCTGAAGCAGGAAACAAAGAGGGATCATCACCATGGACCCCGCAGAAACTGAAAAGTTACCACAAACAACTTTAAAGCAGCATGGTAGACAACTCAGATGACACGGACAGCAATACGCACAGGTACAAAACTGACACACAAAAAAGAGAAAATCTGAATAGACCTCTAAGAAGTAAAGACATTGAATTAATAATTAAAAACCTATCACAAAACCCCAGGCCCAAACAGCTTCACCACTGAATTTTTTAAGGAAGAAGGACTATCAAGCTGACACAAGCTCTTTGAGGACACAGAAGAGGAAGCAGCAACTTTCCCTCCAGGTCTTTGAGCCTGGTTATCTCCCTAACACAAAAGCCAAAAACGTCAAAAGACAACTACAAAAAATACTCCTCATAAACATACATGAAAACAAATCATTAAAGTAGTAGCAAACTAAATCCTGCAACACAGAAAGGACCACGTATCATGACTAAGTAAGATTCATCCCAGAAATGCGAGGCTGGTTTAACAACCCAGATTAATTAACGTAACGTGCCATTTGGGCAAAGTAAAGGACAACGTGGTCGTCTGCTGTAGTCCTGCCAGGGCTGTGGATGACTGAATCAGAAGGGATCCCCCCAACGTTCTGTGGCTCTATGATGTATCTAACCATTGCCTGACATGTGTTGATCTGACTGGGAGTCGTTCCTATCTCACAGAGGATACTCCCCAGATGAAAATGGTAGCCCTGTGAGAAGGCAGACCACCTGCAGGACCAGGATCCACACAGAAACTCAGGCTGGTGGTCCGTGCTTCTTGGAACTTCTCCACGTGGTCCTGTACCCAAGGCATGAGCAGGGATCCCATCCAGGCTGGGATGGCCTATTCTAAGTGAATAACTCTTCAAAGTCTTTATCTTAAAAAGCTATGTGAATTCTCTCTAGTTTTGTATATGCTTTAGATTTTCTATACTAAAAACTTTTAAAATTTAAGGGGATAGAACCCATATCCTCGTCTTTCTCAAGAGCCAGTGACATATCATGATCTAAAATCCTGTTGAAATGGTGTTTCCTGGATGTACAATCTTAGTGCCAGACTCAAATTCACTACGCATGTGTTCAGTCCCACAGTCACTAGAAACATGGCTCTTTCACAAGCCTCAACACTTCACACCAGCCTCCAGGGCCCACGAGGGCCTACGTGGGATGAGGGCAGCGTCAGACCTCGGAATCCTCCACCCAGCTCAGCTACGCGACAGCTTCCTGACCATGTCCTCCCGCTTCCCTCCTGTTCACCGAGGTGGACGAATGAGTGGACCGCGAAGGTTTGCTCTCTCAGGATGCCAGTGTGCAGACGTGAGTAATCCAGACCAGCTCCCTGGTGAGCTTAACTGACCAGGTCTCTACTGACACTATAACGTACGCATCTTGGAAGTGTTCTAGAGAAACCAGTGGTTTAGACCCTAGTAAGTCTGCTTTGTTCGCCATGCCAAAATGTCTTGTGCACATAGAAAGCACCGAAATATTTATTGAAATAAGTCAATAAATAGTAGGCTGTATTTTTAAAAGCTGAATAGTTCTGAATGTGCTAAAAAAAAAAAAAAAAAGGCTACAGTGTCAGAATATTAGGTTAAAGCCTCTGTCATTCAGTACATGTGTGTTCACTAACAGTCACCATGACAATGGAAAGGCCACCCTTCAGCCTAGCAGCACTACCATGTGCATCAGAACATACCACGGCACGCTGCAGAAACGGATGAGACAGTACCCTGTACCTAAAGAATACAACACCCAAGTAATACGATGGACAAAAAGATGAATACTCTGGTCACTGTTTCTCTAGCAATCCAAAGCTATTATAAAAAAAATTAAAAGATGACCTACAGAGTAAACTTTAAAAGAACAGCTTGCACCAAATGTCATTATTTACCTATTTTAAGGCATATAATGGATATATGTATTTGGGTGATAAACACAAACACTGTAGTAGTCTGATAATTTTTAAACTGGGAATTGAGAACATAAACACTGAGTCAGTAAACACTCCAAATAATAAAATCTCCTGTTATTTTGAGTAAGAAATTGGTGATAATTTATGTCTGACGATATTAATGTCAGATAAAAACTCTGAGAAACAAAGTTCTGAACTGTGATCTTCCTTTCAAGGCAAGTTTACTTTTTTAAGTAGGCTTAACGTTCAGAAATACAGATATTACAAAAAGTCTTTCCTCATCTCTTTTGAGAAAAACTCAGATTTACTTCTGTGGAGGGAATATGAGATCCTGCAGCGTAACAAAGGAGTCCTGCTGTCATGCTCCCTTAGGACGTCCTACGAAATTGCCTGGAGAGACAGGAGATAACATCCACGATGAGACAGCCTCCGTGGATGGAGACCTGACCTTCTGCGCCCGTGCAGCCACGCTTGCCTTGGGCTTGTCCTGTTATTGCGCCCCGCCCAGGAAGCTGTAGGCCAGCGGCTTGCTGGCCTGCTCACTCATGGAGGCCCCTGGCCACGGCTCTGGGCCTCACAGCCCCCAGGGCAGCTGCAGGCACTGGCTGGGCTCTTCCTCAGGGTCAGAGGCACGCTCGCCACAGCACCCTCAGGGCAGGCAGACGCCACGGCCTGCTGAGTCCCTGCTCAACAGGGAGAGGAGGATGCGTCAGACAGAGACTGGGATGACGACTGTCCAACTTTTAGGAAAAACGGTTCCTGCAAACTGCTTGCTGAAAAGCCCTACCTGGGTCAGTTCTGGAGTTGCTTACATTCAAGACAAGTGTACCTTGCTGTAGCAACAAACTACATGGTA